GTCAGGTCGTCGGCGTATAAGTATATGTTGGTGTTGGGGGGATGTGGGATGTCGGAGTTGTAAATGGTGTATAGGTGTGGGGACAGGACGGTGCCCTGGGGGACACCGGCCTCCATGGGACGGGTGGTGGAAAGGGAATCTTGGATTTGGATGCGGAATTTTCGGTGGTGTAGGTAGGATTTTATGAGTTTGGTAAAGGATATGGGATATTGGTTGGTGAGCATTTTCATCAGTAGGCCTTCATGCCAAACCGTATCGAAGGCCTTTGCGACGTCCAGGAAGACAGCACCAGTGTACTGTCCCCTGTTGAAGGCCGCCGTGATGTGCTCGGTAAGGCGAAGGATTTGGAGTTCAGTGGAGTGATTGGGTCGGAAGGCGAACTGCTCGTCTGGAATGACTTGCAGTTCTTGGGAGTGGGTTCTTAGACGGGTTAGGATAATTTTTTCTACCACTTTGCTCATAGCCGGGAGCAGGCTAATGGGCCGGTAGTTGGATGGGATGGTGTGATCTTTGTTGGGTTTTGGGATAAGGATTATGTTTGCTGTTTTCCAGCGGGTAGGGAAGTGTCTTAGTCTGAGTGTCGCGTTTGTTATGTTTAGTAGGGCCATGAGGCCCTTGTGTGGTAGTCGTTTAAGTGTCGTGTTATGTATATTGTCGGGTCCGGGGGCTTTTCTGTTTTTAAGTCTGCGTATTGTCAGTCTTAGTTCGTCAGGTTTTGCGGGGGGGATAAAATGGATTAGAAGCTCTAGAATCAAGTGTCAAGTGTCTAATATGTAACACGATACCGCGAATTACAGAAAAAGCCACTGATAAGTGATACTTTCTCTGTGAGGGCCAATGAGGTATATACACACCGGAAGACAGTGAATTATGTTTTGCTTTGGGTTTGTTTATGTCGGACAGAGACATTACACAGTCATGGACATAGAAAGAGTAGATACATTGGGGGGATTTGTATCTCTCTTGTATATATTATCGTTTATGGGAATTTTACTAATACCTAGAGTTCTATATTTTCTGTTGCTGTTAATTGAATTTGTACTAATAGTTTTCCCCTTACAGCATAAACTACTGGCGGAGGCACTCAGTGGCCGAGAGTGTAGCGGAGGTTTAGAGTAGTGATGGGAGATTTCGAGTGAAAAATCGAGTGGTACTCGATTATTGAGATCACTCGAGATATCTCGAGATGTTTACTCCCACCACTCGTGATTATTACCCTACGGTTGCACCCCAAAATGTTAGTGTATACTGCAAATAGTTACTGATTGCGTAACCTTTTTTTAGAATAAAACCAAAAAGTGGTTAGGTTTTGAAGTGCGTGAGCTTTTTTTTTTAGCTACGCTTATAAGTAATATATGACTAATACAAACATATATTTGCGCCGCTGGGATGAAAACGACCAATATCTCGTATTTCGAGTGATCACTCGATTATTAGAAGAACTCGATTACCGATAACTCGATTATCAAAATTGGTCGATTATGCCCATCACTAGTTTAGAGAGAGAGGGGTAAGAAGTGAATTTGCTATCTCTCTCTAGCGACACGCAATCGCGTGATGCTGGAGAGAGATAGCCATTAGTCTCCTATACGTCAATAGTATATAATCTAGGGTTTTCCCTCATACATAAGGGCCTTTCGATTTGGCAAAATAGTAACTAATAGCAAATTAGAGTTACTCTGACCTGATATTAGTTGCTAATAGGTACTATTTTAGCCAAAACGAAAGCCCCCATAGTAGAATAATTAATAACTGTTTTTTATCATTCCTGTTCTTCCGAGTATAGGAGAGGAAGAAGAACACTACCCGTCACCAATGTCACCATATCCAATATTTTAATTGTGGTTAAACAGCCCTTACAAGTCACGGTTTTGTATTTGCATTTCAAAGGATATTGTTGTAATGACTGGTGTTCGAGATATCTCTTGTAGGCTTTGCCTAAAAACTATAGCCGATAAAAGTTTTGAAGTAATAAACAACGTTATCATGGATATTCTTGATGTTCTTTTGCTGAAACTGGTAAGTCACTGAAATATTAGTTTCTACTATTTCAATTCGTGAACGTTATTTTGTGCCATGGTTATTGTCATTCTGTTTGATTAAAATGCATGCATTTTAGAAATTAGATGATGTCAGCAAGGAGGTTATATGTAGTGTTTGCAAAAGAAAATTATACGCAGCATTAGAATTCAAGTCAGCTTGTTTGAATACCGATAACATAATTATTCCATATGTGGATTGCGAAAAAATGTTACAGCTCGACTTAAGGGAAGTGTACAGGAAGGAAAAGAGAGACGAGTCAATTTCAGAGAATCAGAAAATATGTCGATTGTGTATGCAACTAGTAAGAAGTGAGTTTAGGTGCATACGTGAAAAGGAACTCGAAGCTATTCAGAAACTTACTCCTGAAATGGTACGAACCATGTTAAATATATTCATTGATAACAATTTAAAAAAATTACTTTGCAGAATATAAATATCATCGTAGATCCCGTTGTTTGTAAACAGTGTTTGGATTCCCTGTGCACCCACAATAGTTTCTGCAGAGAATGTTTGGAAGCAGAGGAAAACTTTAAAGGTAGTTCTGATGGTCAAGCCACAGAAAGTCAAGTTGATACATCATCATCCAATTTATTCGTTAAGACTGAAAACTTGGACCCAGAATTCGATATTAACGAGATGGAAATGTCAATCAAAGCCGATATTGTCGACATAAAATCTGAACATGAGGAAAGAAGGTAAGGGATGACTATTTTAGCATTAAAAAAAAATGGCAAATTGCATGATCGTGGTACTGGCGGATCTTATAAAATTAAATCGGTACATAAATACAGTGGCGGCTCGTGGCTTTTTGAGATGGGTGGGCAAAATATTTTTTCTCTCCATAATTGTACTTTAAGTTAGTCTATTTACTTTTGAAAGTGTTAACAAACTTAATAATTATGAAAATAGTTAATCTAAATATACCTGCAGATTATATTAGTTATTCCAAAACTATTATAGTTCATCAAGACAAACGAGAATGTCATCGGAGTGATTTGTTGTCGGGATAGGGGATAAGGCAAGCATTATGGTATAGAAGGACCTATAAAAATAATATACATAATTCTCTAAACAAATAATAATAATAATAATAATAATAATAATGTTTTTATTATAATGAATACTACAAGAAGTATTATTAATATACATACAGAAATTGCATTATAAAGGGCAGTGTTCAGTGGTTTCCCACAAGTGAAAACCTCTGCTCTTCCACACAAACCCAAAAAAAAAAAATTGTAAAAAATAAATCATTAGAACGGTACAGCAGTAACCAGTCAATTAAAATACAATATAATAATATAGGATAACTCAATCAGTATGACAAAGGAGATCTACAGATTATCATCAAGGAGGAGTGCCTTAATGTGCTTCTTAAATTTTATACTAGGTAATTCTTTAACAGTATTGGGAATAGCATTATAAATTGCGGCTATACGATAAGAGAATCCAGAGTGAAATTTAGAAGTGGTATGTTTCGGAATAGTGATAGTAGTTCTGTGCCTAATATTTAAGTTATGAACATCAGTTATATAAGTAATTTTATTGTATAAGTAAGGAGGTGTTTTATTTAATAAAACATCATGATAAAAAGAGCAAGCAATCAGCCATCCGACCTCTTTCAAACCTGGCGATACAGAGTCATACTTCCTAATTCCACAAATTAATCTTATACGACTATTTTGCAATCTCTGTAATCGCATGGCATCAACTTGACGTAAGAAAGGATAATATACCACCGATGCGTAATTAATATGAGAAAGTACAAGAGATTCACAAAGTAAAGTTTTTGTTTTCTTGGTAAACATATCTCTATTAGAATAAATTAGTTTTAAGNTGACGTTTAAGTTCATTTGCTATACGCTACGCCCTACGTCCAAATTTTCAGAACCAACTTGACCACGTTTTTATTTGAACGCTCGTTATTTTTTCCCTCTATAATTGCACTTTAAGTTAATCTATTTACTTTTGAAAGTGTTAACAAACTTAATAATCATGAAAATAGTTAATCTAAATATACCTGCAGATTATATTAGTCATTCCAAAACTATAATAGTTCATCAAGACAAACGAGAATGTCATCAAAGTGATTTGTTGCCGGGATAGGGGATAAGGCGAGCATTAAGGTAAAGAAGGACATAAATTTAAACGTCCTAAAAATAATTTACTTCAGTTCCATATTTACAAACTCGAATCTATTAAAACATTGAAAATTTCTCTGCAGTCACTTTTAATTCAGTTTAACAGTAACGGGTTAGAAAAACGGCAATAATTATAATTATCATTATCAAAGAACATTGAACATAGCGTCATAGATGGTTTATTATTTCGTTTACTAAAATTTATTTTCTAGAATACCCTTGCAGGGAAAAATTGTTCCAATGTTTAAAAATTCATTTAAAGAACAAAATTACAGCTAACAAATATACATAAGTATATTTCCAACTGCTGGGACAAAGCCACAGCGTGTACAACACTCGATGAGCATATGCGGGTTCGCCCGGTTTGGGCCAAATATTGTGATTTAGTGAACGACTTACCTTCCCAATACTTTCTAGTCCTATGTACGTATTAGCAGGCAAGGGACGGCGTTGTCTAGTTCAGCGGTTACAGGCAAGCCCGAATGTTCCGTTGGTTGCTGTTGAAATCACAATGAAATGATAAATTGTAAAATTTGGTAGCGAAAGTTTCAAAGGAGATAACACACTTTAGATTTGATTTTAAAAGAATAATGTCAAATCATTTTAGTATATGTACCAATACGCGTTTTTTTTTTAATACGTCTGACATTTTCAGGGTGCGCACTGCGTAAATATATCGTTAATCTATTAATGCATATTATTAACTTATGGTGCCAAACGAGTCCAGTCAAATTAGATTTTTACTTGCCATTTAGTTCAGGGAACAAAGATACATAAAAGTTACGGAAAATTCCGTAGAATTGAGCAAACTACTTTACTCCAATTGAACGTTAGGGTTTCATTTAAAAAAAAAAAACTACACATTTTAGAAAAAAATGTTTTAGACAACAGTTGTAGAACTTTTTATAACAAAGTTTTGATCAGTGTTCGATGTCAATCGATAACCAAATGTATTAGTTATTGGAAAAAAACGGCTAAAAATCGCATTTTTTAAATTCCTATAAGTACCTTTTAAATGAAAAAAGATTTTTTTACAAAACTTGCAGAGTATGTAGTCCTTGGCAAGTAGAATAAGTGCATTTTTGAAAATTTTCAAAATATTGGTTAGTTTATGCAAAAATTGAGTTTTTCGAAAAAAATTAATTTTTTCAAGTTTCAATAAATCGTACAGTAAAGCACTTTCGTGACCCATCGTAGGCTTAAAATTTTCTGTGGGAATCGTACTTTCCGGTGCAAATTGTGCGCGTTATGCAAAATAATTGGAAATATGCGAAATATCTACCGAAACTTTGACTTCTTTCTTCGTGTCGAAAAATGTAGACCTGTTTCTTATCCTTAAAATTTAATCGGAATGGCATTATTGCCATTGGAGCAGGTCCGTGATTCACTACTCTCGAATGCGAATCATTCGGTTATTAGTTGACTATTCTGATGAGTTCTCTGGGAGCACGTGATCAAAGCTCTAACACTGCTCGATGTACACTCTGAAATAATAAACCAACCTATGACCTCTTAAAATTAAAACCTTGCTTTGGGAAATACCCTGTATATGCAATTTTTTCAGCGACAGGCCACTGGAGAGCTCCGATACCGTACCATTCGAGGAGAGTGTCTGTAAAGATGAAGAAGAGGATGGATGTAAGCACGAGGATAGATCGCCGAATAAATATAATAAGAAAAAAAAGCAGGAACGTAATGAATTGTACAGATGTGATAAATGTAGTTACAAAACTGAAAGTAAGATCCATTTTGTAGCACACTGTGCTAGATGTGGGAATAATTCGGAAGTGTACAAGTGCAGAACGTGCGATTATGAAACTAAATTTAAGGGTAATATCAAAAACCATCAATTGACACATAAGGATCCTTCGGAAGTTCAAATGTACAGCTGTAACGACTGCGATTACGAAACTAAATTCAGGGGTAATATTATAGGGCACCAACTGAAACATAAAAATACTTTCCAGGTTCAAATGTACAAGTGTAACGATTGCGATTATGAAACCAAATATAAAAGAGCTATCAAACGGCACCATCTGAAGCATAAAGATTCATCACAGGTTCAAATGTACAGCTGTAACGACTGCGATTACGAAACTAAATTCAGGGGTAATATAATAGGGCACCAACTGAAACATAAAAATACTTTCCAGGTTCCAATGTACAAGTGTAACGATTGCGATTATGAAACCAAATATAAAAGAGGTATCAAACGGCACCATCTGAAGCATAAAGATTCATCACAGGTTCAAATGTACAAGTGTAACGACTGCAACTACGAAACTAAATACAAGTTCATTATCAAAAGGCACCAACTGAAACATAAAGATCCATCAAAAGTTCAAATGTACAAGTGTAACGATTGCGATTGTGAAACTAAATACAAGAACGTTATGAAATGGCACCAACTGAAACATAAAAATAGTTGCCAGATTCAAATGTACAGATGTAATGACTGCGATTACGTAACTAAATACAGCCACCATATGAAACAACACCAATTGAAGCATAAAGATCCATCACAGCTTCAAATGTACAAGTGTAACGATTGCGATTATGAAACCAAATATAAAAGAGCTATCAAAGAACACCAATTGAAACATAAAGTTCCATCACAGGTTCAAATGTACAAGTGTAATGATTGTGATTATGAAACTAAATATAAGAACGTTATCAAAAAGCACCAACTGAAGCATAAAGATCCATCGCAGGTTAAAATGTACAGGTGTAACGATTGCGATTATGAAACTAAATATAAGAACGTTATCAAAGAGCACCAACTGAAGCATAAAGATCCATCGCAGGTTCAAATGTACAGGTGTAACGACTGCGATTATGAAACTAAATACAAGAACGTTATCAAAAGGCACCAACTGAAGCATAAAGATCCATCACAGGTTCAAATGTACGGGTGTAAGGACTGCGATTATGAAACTAAATACAAGAACTTTATCAAACAGCACCAACTGAAGCATAAATATCCATCACAGGTTCAAATGTACGGGTGTAACGATTGCGATTATGAAACCAAATATAAAAGAGCTATCAAACAGCACCAACTGAAGCATAAAGATCCAGCACAGGTTCAAATGTACAGGTGTAACGACTGCGATTATGAAACTAAATACAAGAACGTTATCAAAAGGCACCAACTGAAGCATAAAGATCCATCACAGGTTCAAATGTACGGGTGTAAGGACTGCGATTATGAAACTAAATACAAGAACTTTATCAAACAGCACCAACTGAAGCATAAATATCCATCACAGGTTCAAATGTACGGGTGTAACGATTGCGATTATGAAACCAAATATAAAAGAGCTATCAAACAGCACCAACTGAAGCATAAAGATCCAGCACAGGTTCAAATGTACAGGTGTAATGACTGCGATTACGAAACTAAATACAGGAGTGGTATTAAATATCACGTGTTGAAGCACAAAGAGCTTTCTGAAATGAAAATGTAGCGCTGTGTTTTGCTAAACTCTATGCATAACGAGTTTTTGAGGAGACTTCAAATGATGCACAAAAATGTTTGCAGGTGTGAATTACTGCCCTTTGTGTCTCGTGCAAAATATAGAAAATGGAAGCATTTAAGAGCTATAAATGTGGATATGATAATATATGTTCATAAATATTGGAATAAGATGTAAGTTAATGAAGTGTTGATGTGTTTTCCTGTTCTAAATTACTTATTTTGTAAATATGCGTTGTATACATGTGGGTGGGGAGGCTATCGCAAGTTTCTATTTGATACCAAAAGATTGAGGTTTTATTATTAATAATTTTTTCATAGCAAATTCAAGTGGTTTTCAAATATCTAAATAGACGAATTTTAAAAAAGTTTATATCCATAAATATTTGTAATTTTGAAAAATTACTAACCGGACTTAATTTACACCGTGAATTGTTCCCACAGTTAAAATATAAGTCTACACAAATTAGAATATGTTCTAATTTTCGTGTATTTCTTCATGAAGTTCGGAAGTACCGACAAAAATATCGAAGTTAAATTATTATTACTTCTTTATAAATAGGGATAGTTAAACTGGAAAAGTACGATTACAATTTTTTTTCGTGTTATCTCAATTTATTCAGGAAAAAGTGTTCATTTTCAATCTGTCTTTATTTACCAAGACTTTCCTGCAAAGTTGGTAGTAATTGTTTTTGTTTCAAAGAAATTCGCACAGTTAGGAACAATGTAAAACCAAACCTTTTATGAAAAAACCGATGAGTTAATTCATGAAAAATTTCTTGAATTTATTCATGAATTAATTCTCACTCTAAGACAGCTGTAAGTAACGCTATTGTATTTTTTTAGTAATATTTTAAGACTTAGAAATAAGGTTTAAACCCTATTATAGTTTTTGTATTATAGGCCTGAATGAATTAAATAAAACCTAACTATACATGCTGATTTTATATGTAATACCGTATCCATCGTACTATAAGACTGTTCCACATCGGACAACTATGTTAACAGTAATGATTCTTTTTTCATCATTTATTGATAGCACTTGTGTGAAAGTTGTGATTTTCTAAGTTGGGTCGTCTTTCAAATAAATTTCTAATTTCCTCGCAAAACTGTAATCTTCTGTCTGTATCATCTGCCCACAGTTCTTTTAAGTTGTTCACTTTATAAGGATGCCGTTGAGACTTCAGAGTTCTGTGAACCGAGGACTTCGAGAAGTTGAAGTTGGCCGAGATAGATCTAATGGATGAGCAGAGGATTTTCAGTAACGGCAAGCATCGCATTTTGACGGTAATTTTCGCTTACCGTTCTTCACCTGATCCAGATAAATCTTTTATACCTCCAGTTTTTTAAACGTTTTAATCATAACTAAAATTTCAATTCTGTTTTTCGCTTAAACGGGCAACCATTTTTCAAAATAATTTAACAACGAATGAATTGGAACTAAATCGATTCACGTTATACCTAAGGTACCTACTCTGGTGATTTTTGTCATCGATGTGTTTTCTTTGAAAAGAAAAAAGCTTTAAAGTAGAAAAAGATTAATAAAGAGTAGGTACGTTTTTTTAAAGTACCTATAGAAGAGACTATGGTTGTTTGAAATAGTCGTCAGTACGACATAAAAGACAATTTTTTACAATTTTTTGACAACTATTACAAAAGAGTAGGTCTTTAGAAGGGTTATTTATTTATACCATAAAATATACACCGTCCTATTAAAAAAAAATGTCGGTAACGTTATAGGTCTGTCAAACATGGCTTAAAAAATAGAAAATATTGCAGAAAAGTGACGATTTCTATTTACTAAATGACCTGTTTCAAGAACAATAAAAAGAACATTCAAATGGAAACAAACAGTTCCATTGACATGGAGCTGTTATAAAGAAGTAGATCGGGTGCACAGTAGCAAAGTCCGTAAAAAAGACGGTCGAGTAGTTAATAGACTGAAATTATGGGCGTGGCTTAACTCATACTACGTCACAAGTTTTCTCCAGTAAGTAACTTACAGGATTCATGTTTGTTCACATGCGAATTTAATTAAATCTTTCAGAGTTGTTTTGGTTTTTTTGCAATAATTCGTTAGTTATTAATAATAGTTGGATTGGGTGTTCAAGAAAAACCTGAGTAGAATAATTATTAACTAACTTTTATCATCTCTATTTCTCCGAGTATGGAAGAGGAAGAAGAATACTAACTGTCTGCAACCAATGTTTTAATTGAGGTTAAACAACGGATACAATTCACATCATTGTTTTGTACTTAACTTACTTTTCAAAGAAAATTGTTGTAATGACTGGTGTTCGGGAAACTCATTGTAGGCTTTGCCTTAAAATTATAGCCGATAAAAGTTTCGAAGTGATAAACAACGTTATCAGGGATATTCTTGATGTTCTTTTGCTGAAACTGGTAAGTCATTGAAAGATTAGTTTCTACTATTTCCATTAATAAACGTTATTTTGTGCCATAGTTGTTGTCATTCTATTTGATTAAATGCACACATTTCAGAAATTGAATGATGTGAGCAACGACGAGGTTATATGTAATGTTTGCAAAAGAAAATTATACGCAGCATTAGATTTCAAGTCAGCATGTTTGAATACGGATAACATAATTATTCCATATGTGGATTGCGAAAAAATGTTACAGCTCGACTTAAGGGAAGTGTACAGGAAGGAAAAGAGAGACGAGTCAATTTCAGAGAATCAGAAAATATGTCGATTGTGTATGCAACTAGTAACAAGTGAGTTTAGGTGCATACGTGAGGAGGAACTCGAAGCTATTCAGAAACTGACTCCTGAAATGGTATGAACCATGTTAAATATATTCATTGATCACAGCTTAAAAAAATTACTTTGCAGAATATAAATATCATCATAGATCCCGTTGTATGTAAGGTGTGTTTGGATTCCCTGTGCACCCACAACAGTTTCTGCAGAGAATGTTTGGAAGTAGAGGAAAACTTTAAAGGTAGTTCTGATGGTCAAGCCACAGAAAGTCAAGTTGGTACATCACCATCCAATTTATTCGTTAAGACTGAAAACTTGGACCGGGAATTCGATATTAACGAGATGGGAATGTCAATCAAAGCAGAAATTGTGGACATAAAATCTGAAAACGAGGAAAGAAGGTAAGGGAAGACTATTTTAGGATTAAAAAAATGGCAAAGTGCCTGATTGTGGTACTGTCGGGTTTTATACAATTAAATATATCGTTAATCTATTAATGCGTATTATTAACTTGTGTTACCAAAATAGTCCAATCAAATCAGATTTAGTTCATTAAACAAAGACACGTAAAAATAAGGAAAAATTTCCTAGAATTTAAAAATGCCATCCGAAGTTTGCAAAAAACAGTTTAATAAAAAACATTTTAGATAAAAATGTTTGAGTCAACAGTTGTAGGACTTTTTATGAAAAAAATTTTGAACCTATCTCAATGTCAATTGATAAACAAATGTATCAGTTACTGCAAAAAAACTTATAAAAATCGAATTTTTTTAATTCCTATATCTTGTAAAGGAAAAAAAGATTTTTTTACTTTCAGTGTATGTAATCCTTGGCAAGTAGAACTAGAGCATTTTTGTAAAATTGCAAAATGTTTGATAGTTTTTGCAAAAGTTGAGTTTTTCGAAAAAATACATTTTTTTCAAGTTTCAATAAATCATACAGTAATGCACTTACATGATCCATCTTGGACTTAAAATTTTCTCTAACAGTTGTACTTTCCTGGGAAAATTCGTTAATTCCTATGTTCTAAATTGCTTGGTTTTTCTAAAAGATGTCAGAGTTGGCAAAACATTTAAATTAAATTTGTTGCGCAAGTACTTGGGTATAGATCTCATTTGACATAGTAACAAAAGTAATTTCATTTGGAGAAATCGGAAAAATACCCGCATATATTTGTTGCTCGTAACCTTATAATTTCAGTTTCTTATTTTTCTCACTAGTATTCTTAAATTTCTTAGGGATTTAACTTAATTATTTTCAAAACCATCATTAACATAGTTATTTAATTTCATCATAAGATGGAAATAATGCCAAGTACAGTTCCGACATTTATAAATGCATTTGGTATTATCTATAACCCCTTAAAATTAAAACCTTGCTTTGGAAAATACCCTGTATATGCAATTTTTTCAGCGACGAGCCGCTGGAGAGCCCCGATAATAAACCGTTCGAGAAGAGTGACCCTAAGGTTGCAAAAGATGATGGATATAAACGCGAGAATAGATCAACGAGCAAATATAATAAGAAAAAAAAGCAGGAACGCAATGAATTGTACAGATGTGATAAATGTAGTTACAAAACTGGAAGTAAGATCCGTTTTGCAGCACACTGCGCTAGATGTGGGAAAGATTCGGAAGTGTACAACTGCAAAACGTGCGTTTATACAACTGAGCATGAGAAATTATTTCAAAGGCACCAATTGCGGCATAAATGTCCTTCGCAGGTACAAATGTACAGATGTAACGACTGCGATTACGAAACTAAGAACAAGAGTAGTATCACGCGCCATCAATTGACACATAAAGATCCTTCGCAGGTCCAGTTATACAAATGTAACGACTGCGATTATAAAAGTAAATACCGCTACTGTATAAAACAACACCAATTGATGCATAAAGATCCATCACAGGTTCAAATGTACAGGTGTAACGATTGCGATTTCGAAACTAAATACAGGAATCATATCAGACGGCATCAACTGAAGCATAAAGATCCATCACAGGTTCAAATGTACAGATGTAACAAATGCGATTACGAAACTAAGGACAGAGATAATCTCAAAAAGCACCAACTGAAACATAAAGATTCTTCTGAGGTTCAAATGTATAGATGTAACGACTGCGATTATGAAACTAAATACAGGAGTTGTATTACATATCACGTGTCGACGCATAGAGAGCCTTTTTAAATGCAATCGAGTAGTGTTGGCAACTGAAATCGGTTTTTTGGATAGTCGATTAACCGGTTCCAGACGATTTGGATTTTTACGAAACCCAAAAACCGGTTATTCGATTCTTCAAATAACCGATTATTCAAATAGTCGATTATTTGATAATCTATTCATTCAAACATCCGGATAATCGGATTCTTTCTTTATTGACATATTGGCTACTTAGCACGTACATAGTAGATACAAAATTAGGTGGAACTATTAAGGGAAATACAATTTATTTTTATATGTACTTTATCCTCGACACAGACACAGATTGATTAAAAAAACAATCACCTAAACACCAAACCTGTTTATACAGGGCGTCCCAGAAAGACCTCCCATAAATACAGGAGGTGATAGTACGACAAAAAATAAGAATTTTTAGTCATGAATTATATGT